CTGTTCATATCAATGTAAATGACACCGTGACAACAAAGAGCACCCTGTAGTGTCCACAGACACTGTTACATAGGCTCAAGGGACATACATCACACGTTAGAGTGAGCATCCCGGGGGAATTGGAATGGGGAGTGAGGCGGGAAAGAATGACAGAAATAACAAATACATATACTGTATAACATGACAGGCACAGGGTAATGATGATAATGTGCCATGCACTGAGAAATCTGACAGGAAAAATACCAAAACTAAAGTTAAAAATAACACACAGAAAGAAACCAGAAAATATACACCATGCAGACACTCGAGAGTGCTAATTTCAGGATAGCCCATTGAAAGCTCTAATTTAAGCTTTGAGACTTAATTTCCCATAACCCTTCAATCTCAGAGAGTGGATTCAACTAGTCAATTAAGATAAAGATAACCCAAGGGGATTCCCCCCCCCCGCCCCCGCCCCAGTGGTTGTTGAAAATGTGACATTTTTCTTCAGGGAAAATCCGTGCACACTGGCTGCCAACTGACATCTAACTGGTTCTGGCCATTGTGTGCTGGTCTTGGGGTTGCCCTCACCCCCGAGACAGTGTTCTTCTCCCAGAAAACCTGGAATGCGGATGCTCCTGCATTTACGAGCACTGGAGGCAGGCACTGATGGATATAAGCCCTCGAGAGCTTAGTGATATGAAAATGGAAGGAGGCAGGAGAATTTATTTTTAGCCAAGACATAGTCCAACCTCAAACAACTACCACAGCCTTCAGAGATAGGCATATTAAGTTGCTGATAATCATTTTGATATTTTTCCTTTTTATTGGATGTATCCTTTTGATTTTTAAAAACATGACACATTAAAATATTTTAAAATTATATGATAAAAGCATAGTATGCAAATTGTCTCCGTGACCCGGAGAGGTCATCCAGGAGTTGGATCAGGGGGTGGGACTGACTGGGGGAAGGGAGGGAGTACCCTGCTGGCAGCCGGCAGCCACTAGAGACCTTACCAGTGCAGGAATGTCATGCACTGAGCCTCTAGTAAAAAATAAATCTGAAGCATAATGGAGTGATGCAGACAGATGAGAATTCCAAAAATCCCAAGAGACTTTACTTTGTTTACATATTTAAATGTACTAAGGGTATTCTCTTTAATTTCTAGATAGGCCAAGAACCAACTACCTGTAAGAATTAACACAGTTCAGCCTTTAGAGTCCACTGTAGTTGTTTACAAGTGCACCTGAGTGTGTGCACATGCGCTCTCTCCAAGGCTGTGTTCACACCCTTCTTTGGGAGTAAGAGCCTCAAGGGGTGGTTAGGCTTGGTAACAGATTAGCAGGCCAGGTAAACACGTTAATGCCCAGGAGTCATGGGACTCATGGGAATTAATATGTGGTTTTTTTTTTCAAGAGATCCACCCGGAATAGAATTCTCCTAGAGCAGTATCAAGTCTAGAGGAAGCAAGCAACCCGCATTATGGTTGATCAAAATAAAAATAAGCTCCCATTTTTCATTCTGCTGCACCTGTTATTTCAATATCTCCGGTATCAGTTCAATTCAGAACCACAAATTATTAGAACTTGGAAACACTTGAAACATCACCCAATCCTCTCACTTGAGGCTGGTAAAATTGGGGCCTGGCGAAAAGGAGTCACTTACCTACAACTACCAAGCACATTAAGAATACAATTGGCAAAACCTGTTTCCTGCTTGTGTTTGAGGGCACTTTTATTCATTATGCCGAGTCTTTGCTGCTAATAGAAATCACTTACAGGGGCTCCAATACAGAGGAATACTACACGTATAACATACCTCCAATGGCCAGGAGGGGATGCTAGAAATTTGTGTAACTACATGCGATCAAAATACTATACATACTTTTTAAGCATGAAGCATGGAACTGAACATAAGAGGGATGGATACATGGAACAGACTAACAGCTGTCAGAGGGGAGGGGAGAGAGGGACTGGATGGAAGAAAGTGAAGGGATTAGCCAAAGAACATAGCCCATAGACTCAGATAACAGAGTGGTGATGGCCAGAGGGGAAGGGTGTGGGGCTGGGTGGAGGTGGGCAAAGGGTGGGGGAAATGGGGACATCTCTAATAGCGTCAACAATAAAAATTGGATTTAAAAAAAGAAAACAAATAGGAAGTATAGCAACATCACATTTTGCATTTAAATGCAACAACCCAATGAAACCAATCCCTGAATCACAAACAGCCAAATAAGTTACTTAGGGCACAGGCTCTGGAGACTGGTTGAGTTGGTTAAATTTTTTATCTCTTTTTAAGCTAGGCAACCTCAGTAGTCACTTCACCTACCTACGCCTCTATTTCATCTGCAAAATGGGGACCAGTAACTACCACTGTATGTTTGCAAAGAAGAAAGAATTGTGTACAATGTTCCACACTCAATAAAGGGATTTGCTACCTTCTCATGGATCAACGATTCGCTGTAACCTCTAGAAATTAGTATTTTACAGAAGGCAAACAACTACTAACTCAAATGTGCTAGAGCAGTGGTTCTCAACCTTGGCTGCACATTAAAATCACCTGGGAATCTTTTTAAAATCCTGATTTCTGGGCCCCATCCTCCGGAAATTCTGTGTCTTTGTTATGGGGTGGGGCCACAACATTAGTAACAAAGAAACAGAATTTCTGGAGGATGGTGCCCAGAAATCAGGATTTTAAAAAGATTCCCAGATGATTCTAATGTGCAGCCAAGGTTGAGAACCGCTGTGCTAGAGGAATTTTCTACTTTTTGAGGTCCATCATATTAAGTTAATGAACACTCTTCAAGAATATCTTGTGCTCTTTGCTTACTGGCATGTGAGAGTTATTCTTGGATTTCTGCAATCTTTCTGGAATATTCTTCGTGGTCCATTATGCTTTATAGTTTAAAAAGAAAATCTCTCTCTATATATATATTGAATGGGTTTTGGAATTTGTTAGATCTGGGTTTGAATCCATTACCTACATCTTAAGTGACTCAGAGCAGGTGAAGCTTTTTAAGATTTCAACAATCTCATCTGTCAAATGTGGCTGATCATAACTACTTTGAAGTATTACATAAGGATTAAGTTGTTATAAGAATTATGGTATTTAAGACGGACCCAAACAGTATTGATTAAAAAAACACAACCTGATCCAATCCCAGGCACATGGTGGAGGACACATCCAGAGTATGAATTTTTATTCTCATTTCATAGTGATTTTCCCAAGGATACACATCCTCCAAGTGGCAGTGCCTGGGCTCGAGCTTTCATTCTGCCTTCACCAAAGCAACATGCCCTCACCGAATTACGTGGCCTCACGTCAAACTCTCCAAAGTGCCCCTTTGGGCAGCTGCTTCTTGAGAAAGACCAGCACACTCTTTATCAGATAACGTTGTTGGCTGCCCAGCGAGCTGGGCTCCAGGCTGAGCCCCATGACTGGACCGTTCATGAGGAAAGGAAGTCTCAAAGGCTGGCAGCCCCGTGGAGTTGGTCTGAACCAGAAGTTCCCAGAGACCACATGCCCCTGGCAGCCATAGAGCCTTTGGGAAAAGCAAGCAAGATGCGAAGCTTTAGTTGAGGTTTCTGGGCCACACTCAACTTCCCTGGACCCTGTGCCTGGCCCAGTCCTGCTGCAGCACTAGCAGGAGACGCTGCTGCTTCCTGGGAAGCCACAGGAAGGTACAGAGCAGCACAGGGCCCAGGAAAAAAGCTTAAATGTAAGCAACTTTATAATCACCACAGGCCTTCTGGACTACACCCTCTACGTTCTCAACAGTCAATTTCCCAGTATTATATCTCAGAAATGGTATGTATTGGACAAGAGGGAAAGTGGGACAGCGGTCTCAGGAGAAAAATCAAGCTGTCTGAGCCAGCTTTTTCCTGTTTTCTCCCAAAAATGACCCAAGCTAGTCTGAGTTCACATCTGCCCCACACAGTATATTACAGGGCTGGACATAAGTTTCAGGGACAACTGCAGTCCAAGGTTAAAGGAGCCATAATACATACAAAGATTTCAGAGGCAACCATAAGGGAATCAGTTGATAGTTTTTAGATGATAGTAGTAAATAACAATAATATCTAATAATTACTACAAATGTACTATATGCCAGAAACTGTACTAGGTGCCTTTAGTTATATAATCTGCATAACTTTTTGAAATAGGCATTACTATTGCATCCATTTCCAGGTGAGGAATCTGAGGCACAAAGAGATTAAGAAATTTGCACAGGGTCAGACAGCTTCTAAGTGACAGAGATGAAAAATGATTAGCTGCACACATTAAAAAAAAAATGCTTTAAGCCCTGCTGGTGTGACTCAGTTGGGTGAGCATTGTCCCAGGCACCCAAAGGTCACCAGTTCAATTGCTGCTCAGGGCATATGCCCAGGTTGCAGGCTGGAATGTGTATGGGAGGCAACCGATCGAGTTTCTGTTTCACATAGATGTTTCTTCCTCTCGATCTCCCTTTCCCTTCCTCTCTATCTAAAATCAATTAAAACATATTTTTACGAGATGCTTTCATGACATGGAAAGGAGCTCAGAATATCAGGTGAACTGAAAGGAGAAGAACACACAACCCTGTACATGTTCAATATACTTGTAGTCCACAAAATCATACTGCTATCCACATACACGCAAAGAAGAAATCTAGACGTTAACACCATACAGATAACAGATTTGGTCTTGTGATATAAGTATGGGTGTTTTTAATTTTATCTTGTTTCTCTAACTTTCTTCAATAAGCATCTGTACCAGCATGTCCCAAGGTGCCTCCATGGCCCCTTCACATTCATGCCAAAGAGCTCTGTGCAGACCAGGAGCCTTTTCTGGAGACCAGGAGGCCCACAGAAAAGAGTAACCTCAGACCAGCAGCCAGCAAGAAAGGCCCAAGGTCCTGCCTGACCCACCACTTCCTTTTCTCTCCCCAGTTAGGCCACACCCACTTGCCACTGACTTGAGGCGCCCTGCCCCCAGGTCTCCACTTTCTGCCTTGTCTTGGAGGACACGGCCTGTCCACAGGATGCCACTGCTGGAAGCTTTCACCTTCTTGTCCTTCTGGGCTCGTGAGTCACACTCCTTGACCATTTCAGTCTAGATGAGTGAGCAAAGAAATTCTTTAATGTTTCTTATGTGATCAGAAGTTCACTAGAAATTCCTTTCTTTTGCATACAGTTGGCCTTGGGTTATCTACACTGGAGCAGTCCCAGCTGTCCGTTACCACAGAAGTGGGGGGAAGTATTGACATAGGTTGCAAGATAACAAGCACCAATTTTGAACAGGACATCATTCACTGGTACCGGCAGAAACCGAATCAGGCTTTGGAGCATCTGATTTCTGTGAGCTCCACAGAAGGCCCTGCTCGAAGCCATGTAGATGGGAAGAGAAACAAAGTTGAGGCAGGAAAGAATTCTCAACTTCTCACTTCAACCCTCCGCATATATTTCATAGGAAAAGAAGACACAGGTACTTACTACTGTGCTGGGTGGACTAATTAAAGTCTTGTCTGGGGACCGAGAGCACACAGTCTGTGCCACTGCCCCTCATCTCACCACCCAGTTTCAGGTTGAGAGGGGAAGGGATGGCTGGAGCCATTATTATCACACTAGGGGCCCAGTCCACAAATTTGTGTACCTTGAAAGGAACTGTGGGCCCAGAGGCTGTGGTGGGCACAGGGGTGGGTCTTGGCCAATCCTCCGTGCCCCTTCATGGCCTCTCCCACTGCAGCCCCCTGTCCCCTGTCTGCCAACAGCCCGCTCCTGCACTGATGGTACCAGCCATGCTCACCCCTGCTGAGGCGCAGAGTGATTGGGGCCAGCGCCAGCAGTGGGTGTGAGCGGGGACAGTGCCATCAGTGATTGTGAGCAGCAGCTGCTGACCCGATCACCCCTCAGGAGCAGGGGGAGGTAAACAAACCCTTAGGGGCAATCAGGGCCGTCAGTCACCGCTCACACCCACTGATGGTGCTGAGCAATCAAGTCAGGCACCAGGCGCTGGCAATGGGTGCAAGCAGCGGCTCTAGTGCTGGCAGTGGGTGTGAGCAGGGCCGTCACTGGCAGTGGGTGTGAGCAGGGCCATCACTGGCAGCGGGTGTGAGCAGGGCCGTTACTGGCAGCTAGTGTGAGCAGGGCCATCACTGGCAGTGGGTGTGAGCAGGGCCGTCACTGGCAGTGGGTGCAAGCAGTGGTTGCCAGTCTGGATTGCCCCTCAGGAGCAAGGGGAGGTGGAGAAGCCCTGAGGGGTGATCAGGTCCAGCAGTCACCACACGCACCCGCTGACAGCACTGAGCAATCAGGGCCAGCGCCGGGCACTGGCAGCAAGTGCAAGTGGGCCATTGCTGGGAGCCGGTGCGAAAGCTAGGTGGGACAGTGGAGCATGGGAGCAAAAAATTTTCAGTAACCAACAGAGGCTAGCCCAAATGACAGCGAACAGTGCCCCACCTTGGTCTGGCACCTCCGCTCACCTGTCCACCTTCCTGCCATGGTCAAATGGAGATAATAATACCACTACCTCTCATGACTGATATCTAATCTAATAATAGACAAACATGGTAATTGACCATATCTCCACTATGCTTCCCATTGGCTAATCAGCAGGATATGCAAATTAGCCCAACCAAGATGGAGGCCAGC